CCCCAAAACCCCAAAACCCCAAAACCCCAAAACCCCAAAACCCCAAAACCCCAATAAAGTTATTTTATTTGAGTTTATTAAAAATTATTTCAAGAATGAAATACTGCTTAACTGATCGAACCCGGAAGATCCTATGGGCTATTGTTGCAATCCTGGCCCTGGCCCAGACTGCTTCAGCACGAGAGACTCTCTATGTGATGGATGTCACAATGCATGGAAGCACATATTCTCGATATGCTTCAAATCCTGAGTTTGATGTGACAAAGAACTCATACTCCAAGACTGGGGATCTTGCACCTGATGGTATCCAAGAGATGTATAGAATGGGGCAACAGTTCAGGAATGAATTCATTACCAGTGGAAGTTTTTTGCCACCCAAATATGACTCGAATGCTATATTCCTTGAAAGTATCAAGGATCAACCAGGACTCATGAGTGCTTATGCTTTCATACTTGGTGCATACTCTGATTCCGTTAGTTATTTGAACCTGAACATGAACAACGCACAAGAACACCAACGACTTGTTAGAAAAACTCTAGGGCTTTCTGATATCCCAATCTCAGGATCTAGAAGTGTCCAAATCAATACAGATGAAGGGTTCATGTATTGGTCTGATGCATCTCACCAATGTCCAGCCTTGTACAAAAATATTCATAAAAGTTTGGCGTTGGCAGGAGAGTCAGCCAGTAATGACTATAACAGAAACTTGTTCCCACAGCTGGCTTCAACATTCGGAAGATCTAGCAGTAAAGTTAATTTTGAGACTGCGCACAAATATCTAGATGATTATCAGGTTGCTAGAAGGCTCGGGAATCAGTACCCAAAGTTCTCAAACCAAGCTAATATTGACAGACTTATTGAAGATTATGAGCGTGATTACTATTATAATGGAGTCGTTGGTGGTAATGAAATTCCCAGAGTGATCTCTACTCCATTGCTCAACTATGCTTTGATTAATATTTATGCTAAAAGTCAGGAAGATTGTGGAAATGCAAGAATTCCAAAGATTCATATGCTCAAACATTCTCACTTCTTCACCGATGAAATCTCATTTGCTGGTTTCCTAAAAGCCTTAGGCCAATCACAGTCAACTGCACCAAAGGCAGGCCAGAATGTAAGACTTGAGTTATTTGAAACCAACGGAGAATATTATGTGAACGTATCTTTGGATGGAAAACCAATGAATTTTGCTGGATCCAGACACGGAATTATTGAGTTAGATGCCTTTTTAAAAACCATCTATCCTAAATTGTACTTTGGTGATATTGATGCAGTATGTATTGGAAGAGAAGAGATATCTCTCAATGTATTCCCTCAATGCCAAGACTATCAAGATTATCTCAGCATGTACACAGGAGGGGTAACTGCTGAAGAGGCTATGCATGTACACAATTGTCGTAGAACCACCCAAGCTGTAGCTCAAGTACATTCTGCACAACTTATTGTTCCTCCTCCTCATTATGAAAGACCAGTTACAGTTGAGACATACGATGCTTATAATCCAGGTACACCTCAACCCCATTTAGTGGATGTTCAATATGTCGAAAAGAAAAGGCCTGTTGCAGTTCAAGTGCCCGTTGTAGAAGAGAGAGTCGTTGAAAAAATTGTTGAAAAACCATACAGAGTGTCAGTCCCTGTTATTGAAGAAAAAGTTGTAGTTCATGAGGTTGAGAAGGTTGTTTCTGAAAAACCAACTCATATCCATCATATTGACTTAGCAGAGTCAGAACCGCATCAAGAAGCTTATGAGACCCCAGCTCCAACAAATTTTGCACAGGGAGAAGAAGATACTAGCTGGCCATGGTGGATGTGGTTGATCCCACTCCTCTGTTGATGCCTTTGTTTGATTCCATGACTAGCATATCTACTCTGCTGTCGTAAAAAGGAAGAATACAAAGAAAGAGAGCCAATCGCCCCAGTAATCAGAAGGCCAGTTGAAAGAGATGTAGAGCCTATTAAAGATGATTCTTATGAGAAAAAGTATGTCATCGAGAAGAAAGAAGTGGACGATACCGAAAAAATTGAGCAAGAGATTACTAGAGAGCTTAGAAAGAGTAGAGCCAGGGAAACCACTATCGTGAAAGAAAGCTCCCCAGGAAAAGGAAGAAGAAAGAGAATCAAGACAATTAAGAAATTCGGTGAAGTCATCGGAAAGGAGATTCAATACCTTGACGAAGATGGAAACGTCCTCAGAACTGAAAGAGCTGGTGTAGATGAGATGGAAGCAAGATCTGAGAGATATTCTAGTGCAAGCAGAGCTGTCGGAAGAACCCAAGTTGTCACTAGTGGCTCTAGGTACGCTGGAGGCTCAAAAGCTGGAAATCTCCTGATAGATACCTATGAAAGAGAAGGAGGCTTAGGATCTGGAGTAGGCTCAACAGGTAATTTGTATGCCAACAGAGCAAGCAGAATGAGCAGAGCTAGTAGAAGAGGATACAGTTCAGGCAGACATATGGATACAGCCGGAGGATATGTCAGTGGAAGCAATGCTGGTCTTGTAGAGGATGATGCTGAATATGGTAGATATAGTCCAGGTGGTACTAGAATGTCAAGAGTCTCAAGAAAATCTGGCTCAAGAGCTTACAGAGATAGAGTAGGATCAGCAGGTGGAAGAGCTGGATCTGGCAACTACCGCTCAAGTAGATACGTTGTTGGCGGAGGCAGTGGTACAGGAAACTATCGTGAATATAGAGAAGAAAGAATCACTAAAGGTGGCACCACTAGACATAAGGATTTCTTTGTAGATGAAGATGACCAAATCTAAATAAAATATTTACTCGCATTAAATCTATATTGATGCCAAAGGAATCAATATTTTCATAGAAGTTCAATCAACAATCATTAAATCCTTGAATTCTAAAAAGCTTATCCTCATTCTTGTACCAAATATTTTCAAACCTGGAATCATAGTGACTATTGGGTATTCTCAAAGTTTGATGCTTTTATTTCTATATTTAGGGCTAATATTGGGGTTTTGGGGTTTTGGGGTTTTGGGGTTTTGGGGTTTTGGGG